CACGATATGGATCAGAAGGAAACACCAGTGATGCACCTTGAAAGAACCAATTCAGTCTTTCTTTTTTCATCACTAACAGAACATATTTGATTATGACTTTGCAGTTGAAATGTATCGAAGTGATTTTCCTTCACTTCTTCCAACTAAATTTACGAAACATATTGATAAGAATTGGTCAATATTAGATTGATAATATATTTAACTACAAAAGCATTGTCTAGTACAATAATTGAAATTGTTCTTGCCAAAATTGTGTTCAAAAAAATTCTAAAAGAAGTACAATACTTGAATAAAAAATGCGTTTAATAATAATGCAAAATTTTCCAATTCAAGCAATACTGATTGATTATACTTTATTGTATAAGTAGTTATTAAACAACATAATGTTTCGTGAGATCAAAATTGATTGTAAATCAGTTTTGTTTCTCTACCGGTATTAAACTGTTAAAGAAAGATGTGTTTGTATTTTTTCCGAAACTTTTATTTGTTAATGGTATTTGAACACATTGAATGAACAAATAAATCATGAAAGTACTATTGCTTTCATGAATCATTACTGTAATCATAATTTGGCGGAGCGCGAAGCAAGTGTGGATAAATTAACTTTACGGAACACGCAGTTATGACTACAAGCTGAAATTGGTCATGAATAAGTATAATTTCTTTGCGTTAATCGTCAATTATAAAATTACGGTTACCTGGGAGAATAATTATAATGTGTGAGGAAAGTTGACTTCCAGTCGATGATCTTCATTTTTACTTCAATTATGTATAGTCAGTTTGTCGTCAAGTAATAATTATAATAAATAACCCTGTTTTTTATAAGGGATATACTATTCGTGACGTGATATATCTCTGAAATGAGTTCTATAATCTGTGAACAAAAATAACTGAACAGTTTTCTGGCTAGTACTTCAAATTTGTTTGATCTAATGCTCACCATCATTTGTGAATATGCCGCATAACTCTCATAAGTTGAAGTCTGAATTCATGGGTAACCAGATACGTTCATATAACCAGTGTGTTTGAATTGAATAATCTTTTCAGAAACCTATTTTTCAAAAACTAACTACTTACTCGTGTGGTTAAAATGTCTATCTTTCAAATATACTGTTGAAAATTGCCCTTGTTGACTTTGATTTGTTCCACCGAAACCACAATAAAACCTCGCGGGTTGCAACGGAGGGTCAAATGGAGTGACCCACTTTGGACCTAGTCCTACCAAATTGTGTGTACAAATTATAGAGAATGTAATTACTTGAAAAACACATGTATATATTTTATTTAGAAGAAATAAATAAACTCAGAATATTGCTTTTGTGGTGGTACATTATATTGCGAATATTCACAAATTGCTTTCCAAATTTGGCTCGCTCACTTCCGAGCGATTCTCAATCTTCTTAGGGATAGTAATATAAAAAGATGTAGCAATTAAGCTAAGAAGTGAATGGAAACAAATTTATATATGCTTCAATCGTTTCTTAGGCGATGAGTAAAGAAGTAGGGGCCTTCAATTTCATAGAATAGCAACTCGAATCAAACATCTAGATCGGTATCGTCTTCATTGATCTAAGTCCTATTATCATATTCTTGATGGTCTTCAACAAGTTTAGGAAAGTTGCGTCTGTGTAAAGTAAGCATGATGGGCTCCAATTCCTTGATCTCTTCAATCATTCTAGTGGTCATGTCCTCAGGGCGTATAAATGTGTTGTCAGTGGTCGGAGGTAATTACCAGATACCAGAATCGTTGTCCGGCAACTCCTTTGAGTATAAAAACATACAGGCACACACACAATCCGGTTCATTACACACAAAAAATTAGTCCGAGACACATACGCTCATCACCAACTAGGTACAGGGGGCCACCAAGCATACACTACTCACATATAGTCATGTGAAGTATACTTATGATGCATTATTTGGAACCTTTGGTGTAGTAATACATGTTACTGGAGTTTAATCTCAACACCAAACCGTTATTTTAACACCTTAACAAGTGTTTCGATCACCAAGTGATCATCTTCGAAAGAAAGATTAAACTGAAGATGATGAAGACGATCAGTTGGTGATCAAAACAAGTGTCGAGATGTTAAAGTAACGGTTTGGTGTTGGGATAAAATTCCAGTAACAGTATACACAAACAGTGTATACTGTTACTGAAGTGAAAAAAAAGCACCAGAGGCTGCCTTCCAACCAGAAGAGGTTTGAAATTAATCTCGCTGAAGTGCCAAGCAGCAGACTGAGGACCGCTCGGAAGTGGGCGGATCTGAAGGAATAAGATTCTAGGTTCTGCACACATCAACCATATGGGAAAACTTCTATCTCAGGACATTCAATTCAGGGGGTGCACGGTGGTTGGAGGAGTTTTAGCCAGATTCAGCTTGGTGCTACTGGTTTCGAATTTGTTGTAGCGAAAGGAGTTCTTCGACTGTTATCTACAAACGGATACTTTTCGTAAATTTTGGGTTATTTGTGTCAATTATGTGAGAAATACGTAATTCTACACGACAGCTTCATTATAGTACGCTTTTAGAGGTCCGTAAATAGACACATATAATGGTTGGGTCTTATGACTAGTGTGGGGAGGTATAGTGAGAAGTGTTACTCCATTCTCCTTGGCTATATTTAACGCTGTTATGCTTATGTGCGATTCGTGGTTATCGCATATAACCAAGGTTGGATTTTCTTTGCTGCTGCTGGTATATTTTATAAAGTGATTTAAAACTTCAGGAAACAACTCTGTTGTCATCCATCCAGATGGACTAGCAAGTCCAAGTGTACCTGCTGGAGCTCCTGAGAGCATATGTTGTTTAAAATTTTTTCTTGGGAATACGAGCACAGAAGGAATAAACGAACCTACTCCTGAAATAAATACAACAGCAGTTATTAGTTACCCTCGTTCAGCACTAGTACATTTATTTAATTGTTTAACTCCTTTCTTGGCAACAACTTTTTTAGGTATATTTGTATATTCGAGAACCATCTGATATCTGTGGTAGCCTTTCGAAGACTTTTTTCAAATTATCAAAAAACATGTAAATATTGTGTTTATTAAATGAGGTCAATCTCAATAGACTACAAGCTTCAGGTGTTCTAATGCTCAAGTTGTTGTTACGATGCAAAAATCCCCTTAGCCAGTCTTTACCCACACTCTTATACTTTTTCCAACCATCAGGTGTTTTTAACTTATTCATTAGAGCCATTTCGTAGGCCAACGTTCTCAACTCTTTTGTTGACAAACCATAAGCCATTTTACTACATTCTTCAAGATACTCAGCAAGGTCTTGTTCTTGTTGTGTAGTAAATATTTTCCGAACATCATAATGTAGGGTGGTTCTTATATTACCCTCTGGATCTATTTTTGACTTCTTAACGTACCTATGTAGCGTTTGAAATGCAATATTTGTTTCTTTTGCTGCCTCTCGAATAGACATTTTTTGTTCAATAACTAAATTAATAGCTGCAGCCATTTGCTCTGATGACGTTTTCCCAAATTTTCGTTGCGTATCTTTTGGCCTTCTCATTTTCGAAGAAAACTCAAAAAAATTAAAACGTGTGAGGCGTCCTATCACCCTATGGTACACAATGAGACATGTCTCACTGTGTACTTCCTTGTAGTGTCTCAGTGTGTACATTTGCAGGTAAAAACTAAAATGGCTACCAAATATTTGAACACAATATAAATCACCTTTAAACTATAAATACTTTTGGTTTGAAAAATTGGCTTTAAAGATACTTACTCAATAAATTTTCAGAAAGATTTTTTGACACATCAGAAGGTCTTCATAGTCCAACAATGAAAAAAAAATACCAGTTGATCACCTCACAATAATGACTGAACATGAACTAACAGGAGTAAGACGAAGTAACTGGGTATATAATTATTAACTGACGGTGTTGTCAAACCTCAAAAATCTCAAACTATTCAGGAGGTGTCTCACTGTGTACGCTGTCTCATTGTAACCCACTCTCCCCTACCGCCACAGGTAATTATATTTCCTATAATGTTTATCTTGATACATATTTCCCAAAAATATACCATAACTGAAGTGAAGCGTCCTAAAGTAAGCAGTTTCGCAAATTTCCGCTTAGTGCATTTTTTTTCAAGTGCATACATATCTCCGAAATTATCACTGTTAAAAGCAAAATTCAAAACATAAATAGTTGTAAATTTTGTTCTATATTCTCTATCTCTAGGATAAACCCTTATAGTCAAACAGCACAAACAAAAGTCTGAATAGTGTCGTTTTTTTTGTTTTTTTTTTCATATGGTGACAGGGACGGAGTTGTGCATCTTGCATTTCAATTATTCAGTAACCATTTCAAAAAAAATTTTAAAAATCGGACATTGCATAAATGAATCCCCCTTTGTTGAATGGATATTTATTACTCAATTCATAAAATAACGTATACATATTTGCTGCCACGCACATGGTCGATTCAGAGGCGGCTTCTGCATTACGAGGATTCGTTATGTATACCATACCACAGAAGAGAGTACAATCCCATTGCAGATAAACGATACAGAGAAACTAGTTTTGGAGATTCTAACCACAGAGGAAGGATAATTTACTGTTCTGTAAATATTCCATATTCCAGGAGTCTTGCTTCGTCGCCTTCTTGAAGTGGGTGTAAAAATTTTGGCTTGAAAGGTTTAATATTCTTCGCCTTGAGACATCTCCCGAATAGTTTCTCGTGGAATATTCAAATCTAAAGTGGCATTCCTTATACTGGCATTAGGATTATTTCCGAAATAATCTAAAATGATTTGATCATTCCTGTTTAATAAACTATACCTATTCGTATAAATTTTTATACTTCTATTGAAAACATTTTTCCCAAACGAATAAAAGTACTGACTCTCGGCGCGCGTTTTATCAACAAAGTTAGCATCATGAACTTAAGTCATATCATCAAGTTTTTACGAATCCAGTATTGCATTATCCGAACCATATTACAAAGAAAAGCATGTTATTATACACTTTGCTGTTTTGTTCCAGGATGAAATTGCTATCAACGGCGTCAACCCGACCATCGATGTGGCCTTCAGAAAAATCAATAGAAATTCAACAGCATTTATGATTTGGAAAGTAGAGGTATGTTCGGGCCTAAACAAAGGGAAATTGAGTTTAGGTGATATTTTCAGGGAAAAGTATTTCATAATGTTGTTAATTGCCTATATATCAATGAGCTCCAAGTATTATTTATTGTCAGTGTACATTTGGAACACCAGGCAGTGTTTAGAGTATCTCTTAATCAGTTAAAAATTTCTACGTTGAAACCAATTATCAAAAAAAATTACAAGTAGGTACACAAAGTTATGACACAGTAGAATAATACAACCAGTAGGCTCTCTTTTACCACGTGATCCGCCCGAGTTGCCGGGGACCTTCAACCGCTCATCCAACGCATTCAGTGCTGTAGTTTCCAAGGATTCGACGGTACCACGGCATCGGATTAGTTTATAATTGATATTGTTTTTAGTTTATTCGCTATTGTTATTATTGTTTTCAGTTGTTGTAGTTGTTATAAGTAACTTACCACAAAATCTTCTATAATATCCTTGAATTTCGTTTTTATATGAGCGCACGCCTATGGTAAAAGAACGAAATTGGCTCCGCACTTCATTTCGAGGTCACCGAGAACTTTGTGAATTTATGAATTAAAGTAGTGGGAGTGGACTTACTGGTTTATTTTTACTATGGTTATAGTTGTCCACATTGTTTGGATGATGTTTTGATTTAATGCTTATCAAACTGTAGTGCACAACTGTGAAAAACTAATTACATTGGGTAGAGAAACGGACAATTTTTTCCCTTTTCATGTAAGGCGCCGTCCATTAATCACGTGATTTTTTAGCATTTATTAACCCTCCCCCTCTTGGTGATACGTGGTGAGGTTTGAACTAACCCCCCTCCCACACCCGAAATCAGATGTATTTTTAGTACCTACAAAGAATCTTAAAATTTTTCATTTCTTATACCTACTGTGCAAATACGTCTTTTATACAGACACCTAGTTTAGACATTGTTTCAATGAAAAACGGTGTAAACATGTATTCCGCGCTGAAATAACAGAATATAACTGGCAAGTTGAGCCGGGCGGTCGTCGTGGTACGCGGCGACTTCGTTCGTTGCCTGGCAACGGGGAGTCAAAAGTCACATTACTCGACGCTTTTCGATTTAGAAATCGCGCGTTTCACGAAAAAATAAATTCACTTGATATCTTACTACACCCCCTTCCCCCTTGCGATATTTTGTGATTTTTGCTACACCCCCTTCCCCCCCTCACGTGATTAATTGACGCTCCCTAAGGTACCTAGAGGACTGGACGAACTGGGTTTCACACTAGGTGATTGACGAAACCTGAATTGAGAGGATATGGACCAACCCAAAATGGCGTAAAGTTTTAAATGCTGCAATAAAGATTGCCAAAACGTCTGTTGCATACAATGCTTCAGTTGTATTGATAGGAAAAAATATCTTGCAATTGATGTTCGAAAAATTGTGCTCTAAAGAGTGTATGAAGAAGAAAACCGAAGAAGGGGCTGCGGCAAAAATGGAAGAAATGTTGCATAACCTGAAGATTCATATGAAAGAGACGAACTAATTGAGAAATCAGAAACGGAAATGAAAAAAGGGTGAACGACCTTAAGATTTGAAAAGACTGAAGACCGAGAATAAGGATCAGGAAAATTACATTAGTAGAATGAAAAGAGGATCCATGGACTTTCAAAGTGAAACTTTGATTGCAGATATAAAATAATTTAAGAGTTAGAACTAAAAACAAAGAGCTTCACTAAAAATGATGAAAACTATCAGGCCAGATGGCCACACTTCAAGATGAACTATAAGAAATTATTATTACCAAAAATAATATGTTAATTTTGATTGAAACACTTCCCCAGGAAAATTAAATACATACCAATGAATTCAAGGAACTGAGAAATGAGAATTTCGATCCAAAAACAGCTGAATAATGAACTGAAATCAGGAACCTTCAATCAAAATGGACATGAAACGAATATTCTAACCATTAGAATGTCATACCAAAACAAAGTGCAGTCTACTGTCCGTAATCAGATCAATAAGAATGGCAAGATAAATATTTTAATAGCAGGACACTATGGAAGAAACTTTGCAGGAGTCAGGCAAAGGCATACATGTAATTCAATCACTCATCAAGCCTGAAGCAAATGATGTAGTTTCAATCAATAACGCCGTTAACAATTCTACAAATTTTGATAAATGTGATATAATCGTATGGCCCAGTGAACTGGTAAAAATCTAAAAGTTTTTTCTAGATAAAGTAAGTCATACTAACTCAATAATAATCACTGAACTATATCGATCCAACATGCAGAATGGATGGAATGAATACACTTAGAATAATAATTTTGCAGTTTTTGAAGCCTAAATAGGCACTTACTTGACTGCAATAACACTTTGCGTAAATATAATTTCTATTCAAGACATAATTCAAACCTCTTCAATAACTCAGGGACTTTTTTCTTATCCAAAGCCATTACTTTCCACATGATGGCGATCTTAATATCAGTTTGAAGATTCCCTTTGTACAAGTACCTTATTATTACCAACCTCCTCACATATTTCAATATAAGCATGCATGTAAACTGTCACTCTCATACCTCTCAATACTCGTCTTCATCAATAAACTATATTTGCAGAAATTTGGACCACATAAACATAAACTGCCAGTAAATTTAAAAAAAAAGGATGATTTATTCAGCAAACAGAACAATGAAGGGTTGTATGAACGTTGTGAGCAAACTGTGTTTGCTTCTTAGATAATTATCACCCCCTCGAGGCGTTCTACAATAGGTTATTAGAAAATTTAAAAAAATCATTCCCTCTACAAAAAAAATTAAAAAAAATCTTGGTTGACAAATGATATTACTAAGATCAGTAAATTTCATTAAAAAATTCGTAGATCCTACCCAAACTTCATTTAATAATTACTTTAATGAATAAAAGTCAATTTACAGAAGTACTATGCATGCTAAGTCTATCTACTACAAACAAAAACTGGAAAGGACAGGAAATAAATCGAAGTAAAGCTGGTCCATTATCAACGATATCTGAGGAAACTGAATTTTGCTTGGACCTCGATTTGATAAATAATTTATACTGTACCATAACGGACAAACTCACTGAGAATATATCATCAACTGTAAATCTGTTTTCTTCTAATGTTGACATCAGAAAGCTTCTCACTTTATGAAACAAACCACGAGGAATTATTAGCAGTTATTAAAAAAATCAAAAACAAGCATAGCAAGGGTATAGACGATATTTCTGTTAAAATCTACCTTAATCAATGTTAGTTGTCTTATCACAACTCATAAATCAATCTTTTGAATCTGGTAAGTTGCCATCGTTTCTGAAGACTTCTGTCATAACTCCGCTTTATGAGGAAGGCCTTATGTTGTTCCTTCCAACTACAGGCCTACAGCACATATTCCTACCCTTGCTACCACTAGTCAAAATCAGAATATTTTCCTTATGTAATGATTATAACATCCTTACTTCCCGCCAATGCAGATTCCAAGCAAATAAGGGTGAGGTGATGCTTTGTTCTCTATATTAGAAACTATATATTCTGAATATAATGCTAAAGATTCAGTCATTGCTTTATTCCGTGGCCTATCGATAGCATTCGACTGTGTTAATCATGAGATCCTTCTGAATAAGTTTCTTCAGAGACAACACCCTTCACTGGTTTCATTCATATTCATCAGGCCGCAAACAGGTAGTTAATTTTGTTTTACATCTTTTTAAATGATTTAGTTTTTATAGATATAACGGCCACACGATCAACTTCTCTGCCGAAGACACAATGACACCACCTTATTGTTGCACAAGGACATTCCTACTCTTCATGAGGTTACCTCCGAAGACATCAACGAAATCAAGTAGTAGTGCGACTGAAAAAAGTTATCTTTCGATATTGATAAAATCAGTATATTTACTTTCCACTGCCTTGGCAACGAAATCATAGAAAGGGTGCATAATTATAAATTTCTGTGATTGAATATTGATTATAAATTGAAGTTTGAAAATCAAACAATAAACTGAAGCAAGAAGCTTGCCTCAGGTTGCTATGCACTAATAGTCATCTCTACAGAAATAGACGAATCCCATTCGAGAACAGCTTATTTTGCTCTCATAGATCCCCATATTAGATGTGGAATTGCTTTCTGGGGAGTTTGCTTTCAAATGATTTTCGTGCTAGAAAAAAGGGCAGTCCGATATATGTGCAAACCGGGATTCACGCAAACCTCTTTCAGTGTTCAATAAATTCACACCTCCACTTATCGTCTTGGTGTTTCTAGTTGAATATTTCTCTGTGTATTTCTTATTCTCGTGTTCATATATGTATTTGTTCAATATAATTGTATGTTTTTTATATATCTTTATACCTGTAAGAAAAATTTTAAGAATTTGTCAATGAAATGAATTCAGACAAAGTATATTTGATTGACTGTATGACTATTTTTTCAATTAATGAATTTTTCAAGTGAGACTTCATCATCATCTACGTATGAGTGAATTTTCAATCCTTTATAATTTGTTAGTTCCCATTGCATAATATCAGTATTTATGTCTTTGATCATAAACTCATTTGATAAAAATAATTACTTTCTTATCCTTTTCTGCTAATCGGGATTTGCTTCACTTTATAAATGCAAAAACCAGTTTACAACCCTCACTTCACATCAAGGTGAATCTATATTTCATGTAAAAAAATGTTTCCTTCAAAGAACATTAATTTTTAATAACGTCGCCTAGAGTTTTTCCATTTAGTTAAATGAGATCCTGTATCTGCCCAAAGTTGATATACGTATTAAGTAATTACCTTTAGAATAATTATTTTGTATATGATAACTGAATTTACTAAAATTCGAGTTTTCTCTTTCAGAATATGAATATTGTGGCTGTCCCAAGAGATCAATATGGAACATTTTACGACAGTGACTCATACGTAGTATATGCAGCTTCGCAAAATGGACAAGTATGTGGCACTGATACCGTAGTAAGTTCCAAGGATTTTTTTTAATTGAATTTGCTACCTGAAATTGTTTTTCAAATGATAATTTCATGAGTTTTTACGACAGACATATGTTAAACAAATTTTTGATGATTCTAAATTAGGTTGTTCATGAGAAGAACCAGGTAGAATTCAACTCGAAGAAAACCCAGGTACCAGTTTTCTTGAAGAAAATAAATGTGGTACAAATCGATGCAAAGATTTGTTTTCATTGTTTTCAACCAACTTGTTTAATGTCACATTTGAAAGTAAAATGTTCCAAGCCCAAACTAGACCATTCAAGGCGAGCACATAAAAAAATTACTTAATTTTTCAATTGGAAACACCATATCTCACAGTGGCTCTTCCAGAAATCAGTAACAAACTGGCTAAGGAATAGTCCAATAACCATAGTTAGAAATATTAAAACCTTTTCTGCCGAACTTTTCATGAATCATGAAGTCATTGTTACATTCATGATTTCATATAACCCTTTTCAAAATGGATTGCGCCATCTACCAGCTACTAGATTTAACACCAAAAGTAACCTGAAACATCAAGGACATTTTAAAAATATCCTTTTTGGCTTTCTACTCATGTGAATAAAAACAGTTTCAATTCTATAAAGAATATTTGTGGTGCAAACTGATATTGAAAGTTGTTGTACAAGTTGGGCACTACAGGTTGATCTGAAAAAAATGTCTATGTGTGATCTACATATATTTGTAATGAGTATATATTGCAGTTATTTACTTTTTTTATTTTTTGAAAGTTTTTCACATTTTTGTATAATGATGGAGATGTAGAAATTCTAAAAGTATTTTCCTGTAACTTATACTAGGTTACACATGGCATAAATAACCTAAAACATTGTTAAGGGAGAACTTATGAGAAATATAATCAAAATATTTGTGATCTGGGAACAAAGAAAAACACAATTTCAATCAAATTTCAACATCTTTTTTAATTAAAATACATAAGTATATTTCTGTTATGTATCACAGATAGTAACAGTGAAATGAGAACAATTCAGAAAAGTAAAAAACATGTAAGCCATATTAGAATGGTTTTACAAGAATTCTGTTTCACTTGGAACCTGCAAGTGAACTAACTCAATGGTTTATATGAATAATCTATCTCAAGTTAAATTAATATCATAATCACTTTTTTTCGTCGGTTCTACTATATTATAGCTTGGTGCTGAAATATTTGTCACTTGAAAACTTTTATCACAGAAGTGAGTTTTGGTTGAATTTTTCGGAGGCTTATCAACTTTGATTGTCCCACAATTATCAGGTGAAGATTGTTTCTTTTGTAACGACCTCATTTTCAACACAGAAGAAATGTGTTCACTAACAGAAATATCAATGAAATCATCTGAAAAGTCTTCAGCGATAATTTTTTCTTCTACTATTGCCAGTGATTCCGTAGAAGGGCTTGAATACTTTTCAACGTTTTCAATATTTTCTTGCTTTACAGGACTAGGACAAGTAGGTTCAATCTCTGTACAGTCCTGTATAGTACTACTCAATATTTGCTCTTGACTTTCTGTTATATCGCTTTCCAATTCCATCATTTTCAATTTTTTATTGGGGGAATCATCTTCATTCAACAAAGCAGGTAAACTTTTGACCACATCCTCACAGAAAACCTTTTTTCCATCTGAGGCATATTTTGATTTATACAAATATATCACATTTTCATTATTTGTGCATGTTTCAACAAAATTATAAGCTGATAAAAGTAATGTTTTACACTTAGGACACATCACAGGATTACAGGCCATACCCAAGTCCTGCAAAAAAAAAGATGTGTAACAAATTGAAAAGTAATTTTATAAAGTTGAAGATATAGGAAAGGGTATTTCAAAGATTATTACAATTCTCAGCATATATTAACTTTTTTCGTTCGGTGTCAACAGTGTCGATTGCTATGATCATTAGCCTCATGTTCTGGGTAGGTTATGGTGACAACTTCCTGAACTTTGAATTGTGAAACAGGCACAATACCATTTGCGTCAATTAACCGCTATATTTACTTCTTGTTTCCTTTATAATTAAAAGTAACAGTATGTTAGGTAGGTCCAAAGTGGGAGGATCTTTTCAACCCCCATTGCAACTTGTGACAGTTCATTGTATCTCACACATAATCAAACTTGACCAAATAAATCCTGCTCCTCACGAAGTTAGTGATCTTTCAGGTCAGCTGGCAAGGGTGGGACTCTGCTAAACGCTAAAAATCTTATCTGGTCCGCGACGGGGCAGGTAGCGAGTACGTGCTCTGCTAACAGGGCCTGAATTTGCTTGTGAAGAATAATTCACTCCAAGGTTGAAAGACCATGATATATTTTCCTCAATCTAATGAGAACCTGATCGGTGGTCAGTTTGTGACTGACAGGTAGGTAGGCAACACAACTGTGTGGCTTGGGAAGTGGGATACCCACTCGGTCAGTACACATCAGTCTACCAGACTGAAGTGTATGCGATTTTGCAATGCGCAAGGAACGTTGATTTGAGGCCTCAACGAAATGAGCAGATCAATATTTTCACAGACAGCCAGGCTGTACTGAGGCAGGACAGGAACAGATTGACTATATACCAGGTGCCAGGACACTCAGGCAGACATGGATCATCAGCTCCATATACAGGCCCCGAACCTGCTGTGATGGTACCAAACGATTTTGTATGGAACCAGATTGAAAAGTGGATCTATAAGAAACATAAAAAGTACTGGGAAAATATACCGGGTAACATACACTGGAAAACCTTTATAAAGGAACTGTCCAAGCAGAGAATTGAAGAAATGCTTCAACAAAGTAGGGATCGGCTCATAACAATCAGAGCTACTCACTGAACACTGTCCATTGAGAGGACACCTAAACAAAATAGGACTGCACAACGGAAAACTCAACTGTCTGTGAGGCTGCAGTGCCTTCCGGAGACTTGGGAGAAACACACAAGTCAGACAGCTCCCAAGTAGTAAAAAAAAAAAAACCCCACTGCAACTCACAAAGGTTTATTGTGTTTCAAACCTAATCAAAAATCGACCGAGTAAATCCAGTTTTCACGAAGTCGATTACTTTATTTGGTGTGTGATCTTTCTGGTCAGCTGGCAAGAGTGTGACTATGCCAAACGCTGAAAATCTGACCCGGACTGCAATGACACAGGCACAGACTACATACTCTGCTGCCAGAACCTGAACTTCCTTGCGAAGAATAATCCACTCTAAGATTGACAGACCACGTTCCATTTTTCTCAATCTAGTGAGGGCCTTGCGTGGTCAGTTTAAGACTATCTTCCTCAGGTAGGTAAGCAACACAAATGTGAGGCTTGGGAAGTAGGTCTCCTGTGATGCATTTCAGAGAAACCCCCTCACCATGGCTGCAGGGTACTAACTGCACCCACTAGCCCTCCCAACCCTCTCAGGTAACCTGAAGCCACCCAGGCCGTAATATGCAGCTCTATAATTGTATTTGTGGGCCATTCTTCTGGAACATCTATCTATTGCAGCCATAATGACATACTGAAGAGATTTCAGTTGATAGGTCGAAATTGAGGTTTCAGATGTTCAAGGTTCAATATTTTCACCTTAATGACCACAGCAATCTTTCTATATGAAGACATCTGTAAGTCAGCTATGCCTGACGATAGATTAGATTCAGTCATGCATGTCACTCATCATTTGAGCATAAGCATTTGTATACCTGCTTTGGGAGGACGGGGAATCACAGAGAGAAATATAAAGATGCTTAGACAAAGTGAAAATGAATTATTGCACCGGTGGACCGCGATTGGTTTGATCTGCTATTAAATTCATTACCATTTCCTCAAAATGTTATCTGTTCAAGTGGCAATAATGTTCACAAGTGATTACAAAAAAAAAAGGCTGGGGTTTAGACAAATAAGCGAATGAATGTCATCACGTAAAGTCATCGATGACATGAGTAGATTGAAATAAAGGACATAAAGTCACGGAATGAGTTCCGTGAATGAATGAAATGAATGTTTTTTCTTATGTTATCCAGATTTGGTAATGAAGGGCTGACAAGGCAAGTGTCTTAAGGCGAAACATCGGATGTCTACCAGTGAGGATGAGTGTTCCGTGTAAGTGAAATTTTATCTCTGTCATTAAGTATATCGTGTAGGAATCCTGTGAATGATATCTGATTCAATTCCATAACAAATATTTGGAATACAAACGGAATAGAGTAAAATGTTTTTGTATGATTCAGTTTTCATATGAAAGTATTTGTTTCGAAAGTTTTTTTCTTTCATGTAATTTAATGTTTATGTGAAAGTAGCTGTTTCGAGAAGGCTTTTCCTTCCAGTTTGTGTCTGAATCTTACTCCTTTGCATGATCTTCACATCTTTGTATACAACTACTTTTTGAAATTAATTCTTTCCTTCCTTTCTTTGAAAGAATCCCACATTTTTTTATATCAAGAGAATGAGTAGCTAAAGCCAAAACCTTTCTTTCCTAAAAAAGGTACTTTACTCCTGAGCAAAATTCATATTTTCTGACAAACCTAGAATACAACTGCAAGAATTTGATAAGTGATATTGGCATTGAAGGTTTTAGTCCTTGTAAAACTTTTTATGAGGATTTTTTTTTCTAAAGTCAACAATAAAAAAGTTTTCCATATGGCTCCAACTCACTAAGACATGCTCTATTAATAACTTTTAACGGTGTTTACTCACAAAGTGTGGCATTAGAATCTGTAGCATATTAGCAAACATGGCCGTTTGCATAGCTCTGATCTTCTTAGAACCACTTGTTTCTTCACTACAGTTTTTGTCGGGTAAACTGAGGGGTGTTGCCTCATTCCTATTGGAGGATTCCAAACATAATCGACAAATTACGTTTTCGCTATGATCCGATGATTTTTCAGGTTCTGGACTCAATACATCTTCAGAAAGTCTGAAATATAAGTCAAAAGTCAGATAAAAAATGGTTTTCTTTTCACTAAAGTTAACATACAATATAGACATAATACGTAATGTATGATAAGTTTATCATGAAAAACAGAGAAACGTTCAAAAAAAAAATGGATATAAATATATTTGACTGAAGAATATATATAATTTACCTTCTCAAACTCGGGTCAAATTCCACGGGATGTGAAAGAGAATGCTTACTGCTAATTTCAGTCCGTTGACGTTTCAGTTTATTTTTGACATTCACGCCAATATCTTGTTTGACAGAAGTAAAACTATCCATTTCAATTTCAGATGAACTTTGTTCTTGCTTCACCAAATTGAATTCTTTCTCTGGACTTGCATTTCCAGAGATTAACTCGATAGGAATATCTCCATTTCCCTTACTTATTTCTGTCTCAATATTGGCACAATGTTCCATTAGATTTATTACAGTGTCTTCTCTACAACTATGTGGAAACTCTTTCATAACAAAGCCAAACTTAGATGTTAAACGGCCGTGACACTGTTCTGTTTCACGTTTAACGCAAACCCAAGTAATGAAATTGTTGGAGCTCTTTTTGAGCATTTCATATTGGTACCCGCCCTTTGAGGCAAATGGCTTTCCTTGACTCGGTTCAGAAATTTCAAGATCATCTGAAAGGATAGGTGTTCTTGGCGAGTATTTCTGAAAAATTAGAGTGCATAAAAATATCAACGGTATGCAAAGGTATGTTCATTACATGTAATGTGTTTTTATTACAGCTAAGAGATCCAAAATTAGTAAAAATTTGTCAAATTTGAAACACTACTCAAATGAGTCAATATCAATAATAGTTCTTAAGCTGAAAAAAAAAAAAACACCTTTTTATTTAGCTTTCCACATACTTTTGTGAAAATTATTTGTGAGTGAAAAAGAATCAACACCACATTATAGTTTCGACATTTGACTTGCCATCTTTTGAATGTGTCTTTGAAAAAGATTTATAATGGATAAAATGTAGATTTTAAGTTGAACATCTACTTTATAGGAAGTAAATCAGACAAAGTGTTATAAGTCGCAACGAATTATTTTGAAAGGTACTAATGGCATATAATTATGTTTATTCAGTAGATCAAAAATAAATTGAACAAATTTAAGAATCTAACCCTATTTTATAAATACTCATCTCAGAGGTTTATAATTATTTTTATAATAAAAAAATTAAGTAAAATAGAGTAGCCCTAGATGAACTCAGGAACTGTGTTAATGTTGATATTGAGAATATATAAGCTAAAAACACTTTTGTACAACAAGAATGAATTCAGTTTCAGAATATATATTGCATATAGATAACCAGGCAAACATTTTTTTTTAATTGAGCCAAATATTTTAATCATCTTGGGCCACTGCCTTTTAACTCTTACATCCCAATTGTCGCGGTGGTCCACGATTTGGACCAGCTACAGTAAACATTTTCTCAGCTGGAATGGTGGTTCATTCTGTCGTTCACCATCGCCAATGCTTCCGTAGGTTGCTACGTAACTTAGTGACATCATGATTTTAGCGCGAGCTTGGTTTTCCTATCGAGACTCAGTCTCCCGAACTGCGACTTGGAGGTTAGGTTCATTGTATAGGTACATCGAATCACAGTTATCAGAGAAGTAACGCAACTTGTTGTCATATACATACCTACTTATATATTGTTCTTTACTATACTGTTGGTGAGTACAATCCATTCTTCGTTTGAAAATTGTCTTAGAAGTTTGAAAAAATTATTTAGATTTGGTGGTAATTTTTTTGGACCACCGCTCCACTGCAACTGCAAATTTGATGAACTGCTAGACGATGCGAAAAATTTGAAGAGTGTCTACTGCCCAGTAAAGAATTAGCCTTAGATGAATCTATGATTAAATTCAAGAGTAGGAGTACGATGAAGCAGTACATGCCCAAAAAACCCATCAAGAGAGGGTACAAAGTATGGATGCTCTGTGATAAATCAGGGTATTGCTTGAAATTTGATATCTATACCGGAAAATCCTCCACAGGGGATGTGGAAAAATGTTTGGGGTCCAGAGTGGTCAAGAAACTGACAGAGGGCTTTTCAGGAAAGAATCACCTATTGTTTTTCGACAACTTTTTCAATTGTGTTGAACTAATGGAATATTTGAAAGAAAGAGGGATATATACTGTTGGAACTGTGAACATCTCACGCCGCCACATGCCTATCTTCAAAACAGATAAGCAACTGAACCGAGGTGAATTTGACTGGTACACCAGTGACAGGGGACTGCTTGCCATGAAATGGAAGGATAAGAGATCTGTTCATCTTCTTTCTAACTACCACAAACCAGAAAGCATCACTGAAGTAGATCGTAGGGAGAGAAGCGGAAATGTAGTAAAGGTGCCGTGTCCACAAGCTCTGGTTGACTACAACTCAAATATGAATGGGGTTGATAAGTTCGATCAGTTACTTAGCAGTTACAAAATCAATAGACAAAGTAACAAATGGTGGCATCGCATATTTTTTTATTTTCTCGATGCATGTGTTGTGAATTCTTATTGTCTCTACAAGCTAATGAACTTACCCAAAACAAGTTCGAAAGCATTTAGAAGAGCAATTAGAGCTGGACTTACGGCTTCAACGTTAGCATCCTCAAACAGGGTCAAGTCTTCTTCAAAAAGGGCAAGCTCAAATGTACCTCAATTGGAGATAAAATCGAAACCTTATGTTCCGAAAGAGATTCACTGGACATCATCTATGCATCAGCCCGAATGTACTTCAAGGAGGAGGTGTGCTCTATGTAGCACACCCCGTGCGTACCGATTGGAAGTGCTCCACATGCGGCGTTTCTCTTTGTTTAGGGAAGGAAAAAACCTATTTCCTATCACTCACATTAGTTCATCTTTCCTATATTTCACTTTAGTTTCTAATTAAAAGTATCATTTTATTATTATATTGACTTTTTTTCAAAGCTGGAACGGTAGTCCAAATGATAAAACACCACTTTTTGTGAAAAAATACGATTTTTTTTTATTTTCTAGATTAAATATGATCTTTGTATAGACAAAAATGGAATGATACCGCAATCATAAAACTAGAGTGAGAAAAAAATTTGGGTTCCGCTTGGGTTAAAATTTCATGATGATTCTGAAGCCAGCAAGAGTTAAGTTATAATTACCGAAACATTCTTCATCTCCTGAAGACGCCAACTTGGTTGGTGAAACGTGCGCCGAGAAGAGTATTGCATTTCTGATGATTGGGATAAGTGCTTGTTTTGGATTTATTTGGGAACTATTTTGAACATCCCTCACCTCGAAACTATTTATTATACTTTAGTAAAATCCAGGCCTCTAAATATGCTATTTTCAGTTGGGATTCTTAATACACATCTAAAAAAATTAGTCTTGCAAAACAATTCTCAGTACAATCCATGAAAAAAAATTATTTACCCTACTACTTTATCATTTATCCTGTGACTGTTAACTGTTTCAAATAATTACACATGTTTCAAACTAAGATTTTTTGGATGGTCTTTTTCTTTCAATTTGTACCTGAAAGAAACTTCTGTCATAATCTACACATCTTCGTGTAGAGTTTATTTATATGAAGTTAATAGCTTTCTCCCCTTCTTATCAAGTTTCCCATATTTTGATGAATGATGATAGATATGTAAAAAGAAAAAAACCTTTTCTTCAAAAACTGATATCTCTTAAAAAAAATCTTACTTTTTCAAATGTATGTGCCTTAATGTTTCGGTGACATCATTCACAGGCTCATTCCACTTCAAATGTATATCAATTGTTAATTGTGAGAATGTTTATACAGTAGAATTCATATATAACGACTCCGCTTATAACGACTATCCGTTTACAGCGACGATGATGTTTACTCAAGATTAGTTTCATATTTAGTTATTGAGAAAATATACTGTTTAGTGCAACTCCGGTTTAAGCAACCAACCGCTTATAAGAATGTCCACATCACGTGACCAATTCTCTAACAATATGGCCGCCTGTAGGCACACAATGAGAACAATGACATAGGTACTTCGCTTTTTCGTGTTTTGTTATCTTTGGAAGCTGTGTAAATAAATAATTATGATGGCTGTTTTCAATAAAAGTGATTATTTACTAACATCGTAATGTGAAAACACAGACATTGCTGTACGTTACAAAGATAAAATCAGAGCGATACAGTGCATGGATCCTTTTACTTTCACTTCAGAAGAAATGAACAGTTCTATAGAATGTTTTCCACCAGTTACTGCTTTCGATATGACTTCTTATCTGGTGCTAACTCATAGTTTCTATACAAATCAGCAGATGAAGGCCTACAAAAGTTTGACTGGCTACAAATATTTTGAAGCTGGATTTGTACATGATTGTGAAGCAAAGTCAATCGGAGAGCACATTGTTGTGATTGCCAAGGTATTTAGATATTTTGCAAACTTGACTTTTTCATAATTTTCTCTGAATATGTATCTTAATTTTAGTCAAGCATTCACAAAGGATGATAATCTCCCACTGCATGTCTGGATTATATTCGAGAAAGATGGTGCAATAATTTCAGCTCATTGTACCTGCATGGCCTGGAATATAATTAGTGTAAAGTTACCCACAACTTTTCATCCACAGTTTATGACGAGAGACAATCAAACAGGGTTCAGAATGAGATTTGCGAACAGTCTTGTCAGATTGCAAATATTAAGAATTTTACCTGTATTTCGATATTATCATTTTAAAAACACGATATATTATTGAAACATGTCGAATAAATGAGTCGGCATTCTACATAAATTCATTCTATCAGCCAACGGTCCCTATACAAGCATTAATACCGAAAAACATGTAAAATAAGAGTATAATATTATTCAGGAAACATTCATTTGTACCGAAACAGGTAGCGTATGGGAACTGGAAAACTGGTTTCTCGGTAAAAATTTTATGACTTGTTAAAAGTATGTCATTTGAAATATCCTGCGTTTAACAATACCGAATGCCCAGGAAAGGCTCATCCACAAAATATCAAATTTCTCACTTATCAAAAACAGTTTGTTGATGAAAATTTCAGAATATATCCTTCGAAAGTATATCTATCGATGTGCTCAAACAGATTTGCGTACCATAAATTCCTCCGGTGCGAAAAAAATGTATATCCTAAAGTGAATTATTAAAAAAAGTCACATTTCTCACTTACCAAAAATAGTTTGTTGATAAAAATTTCAGAATATATTCTTCCAAAGTATATCTATCGA